ATTCACAGGCCCATAATAACAATAATGATAATGGACTCGTAGGTCCAAAATAATAACAATAATAACGGGCTTGCAGGCCCAAAACAATTAAGAGCTCGTAGGCCCAAAACAATTAAGAGCTCACAGGCCCACAAAACGACAAGAATTAAAATTAACCATTCAACAAATCCATATGGTCGAGTCCACAATCGTCCACTAATAATACATTCATCACATAAATGTATACCTATATAATATTTAATATTATATGCAAATAAGTTTCAAGTTTCTAGCAATTAAGTCGTCTAAACTCTTTTAGACAAATGGATCGGAATAATTAAATAATTAATTAATCATATTAATCGATTATTTAATTAGCGGGAATATTTAATTAAAATCAAATTTTAATTAAATAACAAATTAGAGTCCAACTCTAATTCAAAAATTATATGGCGGGATTATTTAATTAAAATCAAATCTTAATTAAATATCAAATTAGAATCAAACTCTAATTTCAAAATGTAAGGCGGTTGAATTTAATTAAAATCAAATTTTAATTAAATGACAAAACTAGAGTCTAACTCTAATTCCAATATTTAGGGCGAATTAATTTAATTAAAATCAAAATTTTAATTAAATACCAAATTAGAGTCCAACTCTAATTTCAAGAAGAAATTTAGGGCGGGATAATTTAATTAAAATCAAATTTTAATTAAATGTCAAATTAGAATCGAATTCTAATTTCTAGAATATATTCGGGGTGAATAATTAATTAAAATCTAATTTTAATTAAATGCTAAATTAGAGTCCAACTTTAAATTAAAATGAATTAATATTTTAATTTAGGATAACATTCCTAAATAAAATAAAATTTAATTGGGGTTAAAGTATAATATTTAAGTTAAAATCCAATTTTAACGAAAATATAAAATGTCATCAATTAATAAATAAGAATTTTAATTTGAGTCAAAATTAAAAATTTAGTCAAAATAGGTCAAAACCCATTTGAAAAACAATTTAAAAACCAATTCAAAAGCATTTGGAAATTGAAATTTGACCCAAGTTAAAATTTATAATCAAAGTCTCAAAATTTCGAAAATTTCAAAACCGACCCTCGCAATTTCACAGATTACAGAAATAGGTCCTTATTTGAAAATTACTACTTTACCACCGAAGTGAAATTACAAGTAAGGGTCTTCAATATCAAATAATTCAAAACGGTCCCTTACTTAAATAACTTACAAATTGACCCCAAATGGATATTGCAAACGGGGGCTTGAAATTTCACAAATTGCATCAGAAGCCCCCGCCTCCAATTCCCAAAACCGACTGAAAACCTAATTTTTTTTTGTTTCTCTTCAATTCATGGGGCGCCGCCCCTTCCCTTTCACGACAGGAAGTCGCGCCGGGCGACTTCCTAAATCTGTAGCAGGTCACGACGCTGCTACAGTAAATTGCAGCAACGCCGCGCGCTGCTGCTTCCTCCAGCAGGGGCGAGCAGCAGCACGAGGGGCACTACTGCTTCCTCCAGTAGCGGCGAGTAGCAGCACCTCGCTGCTGCTCGCTGCAATCCAGCAGCGGCGCTCGCCGCTGCCCTAGACTGTGGCAGTGAGCGCCGCTGCCGCTCCTCGCCAGCGGTGGCAACGGTTGCCGCCGCCTCAACCGTCCCCCTTTCTTTCTTTTTTTTTTTGAAATCTGAATTCACAAATTATTCCAATCCCAAAATAATTTTCATTCAAAACCTGATTTTGAACGTGAAAAATTATTTATTTCCTTAATCGCTAAAACAAGAAAAACAATTAACATTTAATTGTTCCAATATGTAAAGCAACTTCTAACAAACACAAAGTATGTTCTGATACCACTGTTGGGAATCTACTTATATATACAAAGCGGAATTTAAAATAATCTTCGATTCTCACCAAGAATCGCCTTTGTGTTTAGATAGAAATTGTGATAAGATTGTACCTTTTCAGATCTGCAAACTTCTTTGCTATTCTTTTCATTCCAGCAATCCTGATTCGCCATCCACAGCTGTCTAATTGTCCAGCCTCCAACGGTAATCCACACAGAGAACAAGATTGCAGCTACTAGGGTTTTCTCTCTTGTGCCAGCAAAAATAATGAAAACCATATGGACCTTAAACCCTAGCCATGTATTTATATAAACCCAAACGGGCTCGGCCCGGTCCGGTCCAATATTTAATTAATCCAATTAATTAAACTCGGCCCGTGAATTAATTAATCCAATTAATTAATTCGGGAATATAAATAACAAATCCAATTAATTAATTTATCCAACGATTGTTAAATTAACCAATTGGCAATTTGCAATCTTCCAATTCTCTTTTGTGTACGACCCATTAGGTTTCCGACCACGATACGTGAAATATTATTTTGATCTAATCAAAATTGATAAATTAAAATACCCTTTTAATTTACCGTCAATTTACACTCGCTGTCCCTGATTGACATTTAACAATGTGTCAGGGCAATACATGTGACGAAAAATGTCACGTGATATGACAAAACCAAATTCGTTCGTTTACCGTGAAACTATAATCCCTTCGTCAATATGATCCGATCAATTACGAGATATAAAATTGTGTCAATCTCGATCATCGATCATATCTTTCACTCTACTATTAAGTCAATATAAGTCGAAAACTCCTTTTCTACTTATGAGTACACTTTGGCCAAGAATTTCATCATCGACTTAATTGAATGAAACGCAGATCATAATCTCCTACTATCTAAGAGTGACGAATCCTTTATTGATCAATCACAACCTTCATACGACTCTTGACGTACCCGAACGATGTCATATTAGCGGCCCTTTTTAGAGCAACATCCAACACCGCCAAAGTATGACTCTCATCATATAAGGTACCATGACGACCTCAAGTCAAAGGACCAATTCCACTACTGAACGCTAGAGATTAACCACTGACACTCAGATAGTTATCCGTGTGGAATCTCTCGACGGATCTCCAATGTTTTATTCTATAACAAAACATCCACGTGTTCATTTAAGTGTCACCACACTTTAACTTGTGAGATCAGCTACTTACTTCACAAGTAAGAAATGCCACACGTGATGGTCTATCCGTAATAACGATATCCGTATCTTGTTATTACTTACGACCATGGATGATTTAAGATTCAATCAGATGTAATTTGTATCTCACAATCACAACTCCTTGTGATTAACAAATTACGGAAGTTTGAATCTTCAGACTCTATTATTTATTTAATTGTCTATTAATTAAATAATAGATCTGCCATAAATTGCATTAATTATATATATATATATATAAAGCATTTATGCCCAAAGTTAATTGGACCTAGGGCATAATACTTACACCTTTTTCATTAAGTAGCTTAAGTCCCTTAATGCCTACGTGTGCAAGCCTACTATGCCACGTATGTGTGTGATCGATTTTGGCGGAAGAAATAGAGGAGTTTAATCCTCTAATTACTTCCCCAGTAGTGATGTAAATATCATTTTTCTTGATTCCCTTAATAGAGATTAACGCACCCTTCATCATTTTAAACATACCGTTTCCAATTTTAACGGTGAAGTTGTCTTTCTCAAGTCTTCCTACTGAAATCAAATTCCTAGATAATTCAGGAATGTATCTAACTTCCTTTAACATGTACACAAAGCCCGTGTTAAATTTTATCTTTATATCTCCAATTCCAGCAATTGTATAGGCAAAGTTATCACACAGAACTACTTGCACATCATTAGATTCTTGCAAGTTTTCAAACCAGTTCTTTTCAGACGTCACATGAAAAGACGTACCAGAATCTAATATCCATTCATGCATGTGAGAATTAGTAGTTAGATTCAATTCAGTAGTGTATGCGACTGGACTAGTGATCAAATAGAATTCACCGTTTTCGGTATCGGAGGTAGAGGATAACATATTTACCTCATCTCTTTCCTTAATCTTTTGTTTTCCCCTTTCTTTATGGCAGTCTTTTATAAAATGCCCTGTGCCTCCACAGCCATAGCATTTTCTAGCCTTAGTTCTAGACTTTGACCTAGGTCTACCATTGCCCTTCTTTTTCCAACTATTACTACTTAATTCGCCACTACTTTGGTATCCATCATGACTGGCTTGCCTAAATTGAGTTCTACCCCGCATCATATGCAACTCTCCACTCCTCCTATCCTGTTTTTTCAGCCCTCATTTCCATCTCTTTACTCCTAAGAGAATCTACGACAATTTCAGGTGTTAATGTGTCCCTACCATACTTAATGGCATTCTTAACTTCTTTGTAAGAGTCCGGGATTGAATTGAGCAAGATTATAGCCTTATAGGTCTCAGACACGGCTTCGTCACAATTGACAATATCTTGCACCAATTTGTTAAATACATCTAAATTGTCGTCGAGATCCTTTAAAGGATCCATCTTAAAGCTGAAGAATCGTTCGAGTAGGTAGAGTTTATTCGGTGTAGATTTAAGCAAGTATAAGTCTTCTAGTCTTTTCCAAAGTTCTTTGGTGGTTTTTAGTTTTCCCACTTTTCTTAAGACAGCGTCAGACAAGTGTAATATTATTGAGGTATAGGCAAGCTCATCGGCTTCCTCTTTTTGTTCTTTTGAGATATCAGGTGCAAAATTGCCTTCGATGGCTTTTGACACCTTTTGTTGGACTAATATGCCTCTCATCTTTTGTTGCCAGATAGAGAAGTCTCCTTTACCGTTAAATATTCCCAAATCAAAATTATGTGTTGTCATTGGTTAACACACTAATTAGACCAAACGAAGTAGTATTGGGAAGCGTGATAAGGTAATATCTTGTTAATTCTTAGCAAAAGTAACAATGAATCTAAACGCTACGTCCACCAAGAAATACCAAGCACTTAAATCAAAAGAACAAGCACTCAATTAACGCAAGTAATCCTAGTTCTAGCACAAGCAATGGTTACCCCTTCACGGTAACCCCAAAACCTGACGATCACCCCACACGATGATCTTGCTATTGCTGAATTTAAATGGATTAAGCCAATTTACCAGAGCGGACCTATCTGAGTCCGTAGAGTAGAGAAAAACGAGCTTGCTGTTCAATTGCAGTCAGTATCGCACCAGGGGTAAAATCGTCCAACTTTTTCTGTGTAACCTGAAATACAAAACAAAGTATATCAGCGCGTTCAGGAGATCGAAACAAGCAAGTTACCTGAAGATAGCTTCGCTAGAATGCCGCCCACACGCCGTCGCTGCCCACGCGCCACCTCACCAGGGGCGCCTCGACCTGCTGGTAATGGGTATGGCCTCCGTTTGTCCAGCCGAGTTTTGGTTTGTGAGTAATTGAAGAATTTCAGATTCGGGTAAAAGGATGAAATCGCGAAAATCAACCAATTTTGAGCCGATTTTTGCCAACCAAGCTCTGATACCAGATGTTAGGATCTTCCTCAAGCTGCTCAAGATAATTTTCGGGCTCAGTTAACCTTTAAAACACCGAATCAACACCAAAATCGAAGGTACTCGCCGCCGACCTTACGAGTTCTACCTATGGTTGCTTTTCTTCCTTCTGCTTGTTGTTTGCTCACTCACAAAGAATGAATACCACACAGGTAAGGGTCACAAAGACACAAGCAAGAGGTAGACAAGATCAAGAAGTAGAATGGACGAAGAAGAAGAAGACACGGCCTCTCCCTCTCTCGGGTTCTTTCACAAAAATGGGACCTTAGAAGGCTACGAGAGTTACCAATATATATAGTAAACCAATGACAAACAATAAGGTAAGTTATACATATGGTAAGTGGGCTCGACTAGGGTTTTGGCCCAATAGCACACCAATAAGCCACAAAGGTTTATTAGCCATCCAATAGGTAAAACAACGTTAAGTCGGGTCATCCCATTATTCGGTGTTGATTTATTGTTCATTCATTCATGTCGACTGATAAAACTGGTTTACATCATCGTCCGGGAGGTCGTTTGACAACATGATGTCTAACAAACATGACTTTCCCAACGTATTTGTGACAAAGGCTTAAGGGTAAGGCCATTTACATTATCTTTAAAAAATTTCTATCTTTTAGTAGATGATGAAAACAAAGTGTATATATATTGCACCACTCCAGAAAAAGATTTTGCTTTTGTATAGCAAGTAATCATATCACAAAGTACAAGATTGAAACTATGACACCCACACGGAGTGTAGAATGCTCTAGGATTTACTTGTAGTAGTCTATTCTGTACCCTTTTATGTTTTCTTTTCATTTTAGCACTATTATAATATCCTTAACCCCTTATATTATCAATGTCAAGTTCTAGATTATTCAATGAATTCACTAGTCCATCAAAAAGTCCCTTTCCTGAGGAGAAGTGTCGATTAGCTGCATCTTTTAGAAAAATTACATTATTGTCTCATACTGGACCTTTCATTACAATTAAGTCTCTTAAATTTTGATTCATATTTTTCCAATTTGTTGGATCACTAGTGTCAAGGGAAAATGGTTCACTATCCAATTTATCCTTTTCATTAATGTTTCTTTCATCCATAACATCATCCCCGATAAATACCTCTTCATTCATCAAACAATGATGTTTTTCAATTGTATTATCACTGATATCGTTCTTATTGGACTCTCTTTCAGTAACCACGCCTTCATTATGTTTTTGTTTACTGCCACTAAAAAATTTATCAAGGGCTCCCTCTTGAGATTTAATTAATTGTTCAACTTTTTTATTCGATTTTCTTTTAGAATATACAGATTCAAATTTTCTAGTGGACATAATTACAAGCAACTAAAACGTTAAAACTTGATTGATGGGGTAAAATTAAAAATATCCCATATTATTAAATATTGCCAAGTGAAGGAATTCAATAATCTACTTGCAAGAAATAACCAAATAACATTTAGAATTAGGGGTGAACGTTGTTTCATTTGGTTCTGATTCTAAGAGAACCGAATTGAAATATGAACTAATGGTTTTTCTGATAATGGAATCGAATGGTTTTTTTTAAGACGTGGAACCAAACCGAACTGAACCATTCGGTTCTGATTTGATTTGGTTTGGTTTGGTTTGGTTTTGTCTGGTTTTAGTAGACTAGTACTATTATTTAAGTTTTCAGTCTTGCACAATATCTATAAGTTAGTAATATGTACTTAAATAAAAAATATAAGCATCAAACATTTAACAAGTTCAAATTATCAATAATCAAGGTTATAAAAGTCCAAATTAACAAATAAAATATAAACGAATGAGTCATTGCCAAAAGTTAATAGAATCAAGCTACTCAACCCGCGTCGGTTATTGTGTGGATGACCGCACACTCATAGTCGAGGCGTGGGCCCCCCATGAATAAAATAATCCTGACCCCTATGTGTGTGTTGTGTCAACCGTGTGATCATCCTTGTGGGCATTGTAGCTCGGTTGGGTTGAAGTTAATAATATTGAGTTCAATTTCATCCTTTGTCCAAATGTGGGATGATGTCCATGTGCAAACAAGGAAAAGTGGCACTGTCTAAACGAGGAATGGTGTGGGATGATGACGTCTGTGTGCAAACTGGGAAAATTGGTGGTGGTACTACCTATCTTCCTCTACCGTAGCACTGTGAAGGTGAGTTTTGAGAAATTCAAAAAATGAAGAAATTCCAACAAAAGGGTTAGCTTTTGTTTAGAAATTATATGTATTTATAAACAAACAAACATCACTACCTCAGAATTCAAAGTGTCCTCGGAGATAAATACAATGATGGATTGGAAGGCGGCGTCGATGACCAAGTGAGACGGTGAATATTGAGAGACAAATTGGAATTGGGAATTTGGGTTTCTCTTAACCCTTTGGGCTGGACGGCTATAGCTATTAGAGAAAAAAATTAATGAGCTAGACACATTTAATTAGCTGTAAAAAAAATAATGGTTATTGGACTAACTTCCATTAATATAAAATTAGATTCATATAAAAAATAAAATTATAAATTATGTTTGGTTTTTGGTTCTAGCATTAGAACTGAACAGAAACTAGAACCAAATGGTTCTCGGTTCAAAGATCCAAAACCATTAATTTTTTTCGTAAAATCGAACCGAACCACTCGGTTTGGTTTGCTTCCGATTTGATTTGGTTTGGTCTGGACATTTTGTCCACCCCTATTTAGAATAGACTTGAGCAATACCAACATAAATGATGAGCTTGAGCAATAAAATCAAGCACGACATTCAAAAGAATCAAAGCCCTTGTTTGAGCCTCATTCTTTGGGAAAAATACATTTTTCAACATTGTTTTGACATTATTTCAATCGTACATTTTTCAATAAAATAATCTTACATTCAAATTCAATACTTTTTCTTATTTTTTAACCATACATTTCCCATCAATACACTATTCGAAAATTCATTATTCCCATAAAAATGGGCTCAAACAAGGGCAAAACCTCCTTTCAAATAAATTATTTTGCAGGTCAGTTTTCATACAAATTTAAAAAAAAAAAAAAAAAAAGGAAAAAAAAAAAAAAAAAAAAAAAAAAAAAAAAAAAAAAAAAAAAAAAAAAAAAAAAAAAGAAAAAAATTATAAGACACCCAATGGTTAATCATTAATGAATTTCATTATTTCAATATTCTTCTAGACTCCAAGAAAGATTCTACCATTCTTTCTCTGTCTACAAACTTAGTGGTTTAATGGTTTAACAACTTTAAGCCTTTAACTTAACTTTAATCACAAGAAAACCATAGACAATCACATAAAAAATTCAAGAGAGTCAAGAAAATCATTGTTGAATAAAATGCAGATTTTTATCGACGAACAACAAATTAGGAAAATGAAGAGTTTCAACTGATAATGGTGATCAGACTGAGGTCATGTTAATATTAAATCATTCACAAATAAATACGATATTGGTGATGAAGACAACTTAAGCTTGCAAAAATCAAGGATACACGACAAAATTGGTGCCACATATCTCCATGTTTCCATCTCTAGATACCCTCTAAATGGCAAATTTGGTAATTTCTTCCTCACCTACAATTTTCTACCCATAATCATCATTCTAAAATCCAAAAATCCAAGGAGAGAATTCAGAAAGAGCTCTCTGGCGACTGCTATTAATTAAATGATTATATGATAAACCAATTATATTTAATAGTTAATACCTAAAATCTAAATAGATGAGGCTGATGAGCACTTGCGTAGGGCTGGAGTCTAGAGATGTCGAGAAGAGCAGGACACCGACCGGAAAACAGAAAACTTTTGGGAGGACCATTGACGTAGAAAACTTATAGGAAAACAAAAAAGTTTTTGGAGAGGAGATTTGGGAATTCTAAATTGAAGAAGACGACTTACCTTTTGATTGAATCGGCCTTCAATTTCCTTCTCGTCCCTTCAATTTCCTTCTCGTAGTGTCCGTTCAATTTCCTTAATGGCTTAAGTTTCTACTGGACTCAAACATGGGCAGTTGGGATAATGGTATTACTATGAGTTTTGAGGTACTGAGCGTAAGCCTCAATTTTTGAGGCCCTAGGCGATTGCCTAGGGGGCTGCAAATTGTGGAGAGAGAGGGGGAGATAATAGAAGACAAAAAAATAAAATAAAATAAATCAATTTGAAATGAAAAACATATTTTTTCTATGAATTTTTCAGAATTGTACTTTTCAATTTTTTTAACAAAAAGCCATGTGCAGCCTAATCTCCCCCATGTAGAATGGGGCTGATCAATTTGAGGAAACCAGTTCTCAAAGAACTAGTAACCTCAAAATACAAAAACTATGTTTGCAAAATATTTCAGTTAAGATTTCGACTTTTTTTTTTTTTGAACAAAAGTGTTATAATTTTTCTAACAAGTTACACATGTATAACATTGTGTTACGTACATGTAAGGAGAATTTATTGTATTATGCACGTGTAACATATTGTGTTACGTTGTAACATGTTAAATAAATTATTCCTATTGTTTCTATCACTATCACTAACGAAGTCAAAATCACTCTCACTGTCGCTGAATCTTGTTTCCACCACTATAATTATCGAGAACGTCGATCTACACTGCCAACACCATCGTGCCCACCTATATGTATCATCACCAACACCACCACCACCACCACCACCACCGACAACCATCTTCACCGTCATTCTCACTACCATGAAAACAAAGGAATCGTCACACTGTCTCACACACCATAAACAACTACCACAAAAGGGTAATCATTGCCACTAGTCATCACCACTACCAACATTAATGCACCAACATCGGGAAAAGAGTAGCTGGTGAGGTCAGGATGGTTCACCTACATCATCATAACATTTGTCAAAGTAAACTTCTTCTTCGTTGGTGCTCTAGTATGTTCACAATGTATGTGTTTACGTATGTTTCATAGAGAAATACATATTATTAAAATAAAAATGCTAGGTTAAGGTAAAAAATGAGAATGATACCAAAAAAAAAGAGTGTCAACGTAATTTCCACATTAAAGAATCATCTCTGGTTAGAAAATAGAAATGCTTGTAGCAGATAATCCTAAAGACCAATATCTCATACTAATTATCTTACTCTTAAACATGTTTCACTAAGCTTAATAAAAATCGAATATAATCAACCTTTTACTTTTAAACACGAACCAAAATACAAGGGAATAAGAAAGTTGTCAATGTATATACCATGTGCTTTCGCCATTCCCATTTAGTTTTCACTTCTCTAGTTGTAGCAATCAAATAAACACAAATTATAATAAATAAATATATAAAATCCTCTAGTCAATGTGGTGGTTGTCAATGAAATTACCTAGCACCATCCTCCTTCAATATCTGTCCATTCAAATTCGTTGAAGCAACCGCGTCCCCTTATATCTTAATCCAATTTACTCGTTTGAACCCACAAAATCACACTCTTTCCGCGTCCTATTTCTGCTACACTACGGCGCCGTATCTTAGCAATTCAACCTTTCCCATTCCAACACAATCACGCCACTTCTCTATATATACACTTCTTCTTAACCCACTTGTTCTCTCATCATCATACCCACAAATCTTAGTCATTATCCAAATTATTTTTCAGTACCATGGGAGAGACCAGACAGCCACAGCTTAACGGAGCCTATTACGGCCCTTCAATTCCGCCGCCGTCCAAGTCTTACCACCGCCCAGGCCGCGGCGGTGGCGGCTGCTGCTGCAACCCCTTCAGCTGCTGCTGTAGTTGCATAGCGAATTGTATTTGTACCTGCTTATGCCAAATCATTTTCACTATTCTCATTATTGTTGGCATAATTGTTTTGGTACTCTGGCTTATTTTCCGCCCCAACACCGTCAAATTCTACGCCAATGATGCCTCTCTGACGGAATTCAATTACAATAACAACACGCTGCACTACAACTTGGCGCTCAATTTGACGATCAGAAACCCTAACAGGCGAATTGGAATTTACTATGATCGGATCGAGGCAAGGGCCTTATATGAAGGCCAGAGATTTGATAGCGTTCAACTGACACCGTTTTATCAAGGCCATAAAAGTACCAATTCGTTGAGGGCGGAATTCAGAGGGCAAAGGGTTGTTTTACTCGGAAATAGAGAGATTTCGAACTATAATGAGGACAGGAATTCTGGTATGTTTGATATTGAAGTAATGCTTTACCTGCGCATTAGGCTGAAATTCGGATTTGTGAAATCGACAAGAGTGAAGCCGAATATCGAGTGCGATTTGAGGATTCCTCTACGTTCCAACGGCACATCATCTGGAACTTACGAATCGAAACGGTGCGATTTCGATTGGCGTTGATTTTTATCCGGATTTTCATCGATCTGTGCACTTTCTTGTGCTTTTATTGAGTATCTGTTTCTTCATTGATTACTTTTCTTATGATTTTTTAGTATATGATACAGTTTATTATTGTTTATCAGTTCTGGATTTCTTGGTTTTAGAACTACATTTCGCAGGATCATTGATTCTGATTATGTGTTTATGTGAATAAATAATGAGTTTATATTTCTCTGTTCATCTTCCTGAATCTTTTTTCGTAAATTGATTATTATAACTTGAGCTTTTAAGAGAGAGACAATGTCAGAGTAAATTTCCCGTTACCTGCACCAGAATAGGACAAAACGGTAACGTATTAGTTTGTTAAGGGATAAGAAAGGTGGACCCCAGATTTGATTGCTGGTAACTTTAATTCGAATTTCAAATTTGAAAGGGCAGCACAATTTCCATATGAATATCAGAATAATGTCGTTGACACAGTCCCTATTGGACGTAATTCAAACGTCACAACGGATAGAAAAATTCCCCAAATCGTAATAAAATAAATAATAAAACCATTATTTTTGACTTTTTTATGAACTTATAAAATAGTTGTCGTACAACTTCACAGGTGTCACTTAATTGTTGCAGATTAGACAATTCCTTGTACAAAAGAGATTATCGTTTTTGCTTTCTTTTTGAAAAGTTAAAAAATACTTTTGAGATTTAGAAATTATTTTTTGAATATTTTGAATGATATTTCCGAAGTATTTTATTTGAATAAAAGAATTTTTAAAGAAATTTGCTATTTGTACACTGATTTTTGCATTTTGGTTGACACTTACATTGTTGTCAAGTGTCAATTGAATGACAAATTGTTTGAAATTTAAACTGTCCAATATAATAATGACACATGACAAACGTGACAAAGTATAAATTAAAGTGTACATCATAGTGTACATGTAACAAGATTCTTTTTTAAAGAAAGTTACTCAAGAACATAATAGATTTCAAGAAAAATATTAGTGCATTCACAATTGTTTTAGTCAACCCGGTAATGATTAAAGGAAAATTGCAACTGCAATTCCTGGTCTATTACTTTTTTGTAAATTTTTTACTTTAACTTTCAATTTATGTTAACAGAGATCTCAAACTTTTGAAAAATTAACAGCAAAGATCCAAATGGGTGGCCCACCAATTTGGCCGTTAGTTGACAGAAAAAATTATTTTATCTAAATATAAGCCCATGTTTGGTTATGATTAAAATTTGATATTAATCTAAATCAAAGTCAAACAATTAACATTAAATATATCTTTTATGGGATCTTCAACTTTTTAATTTTTAATCACGCATTCAAAAACTTCAATCATAATTTACCAAAAAATCAAATTTTAATCCCTATCAAAAATCCTCTAAGAAGGACAAAATGAAAAGTATACAAATTTAACATAAAATAATTAAAAAGAAAAGAGAGAAAAAAAATTTGAAATCTGACCATCCAAAACGAAAATCCGTCGACAACCGTCGGCACCATTACTCCATTACCGTAGGTGGCAATCGCAATTACTTCCTTTCGTGACAGAATAAGTCCCAGTGTGAAACCATGGATCTGGTTTGTCCTTTTCTCCACTTCCTTGCCCCTTTCCCTCTTCTAGTCTCTCCCGATTTTCTTTATTTATTATTTTTTTTTGTGGAATTTAATTACTGCTTAGAATTGAGGGATTGAAAAGGGAAAAAATAGTAATTTATACACCCATTAATTTACCACTACTATTATTATTCTACTTCAATTTAGATTCAAGAATCCAATGAATTGTTTTATTACTAACAATCCGTTTGATCATAAGGATAGAACTTAAGTGGAAAGAAAACGAATTCTAGGGAATTAAATTGTCTAAAATTTGCTTTCCTGAAAATCGTCAATTAAATGTTTTTAATTGATATACTTTTCCATTTGAAAAATGTTGAAATTTTCTATATTTTAGTGTTCTTTTGACTTTATTTTTCATGAAAATTATCAATTAAATGAATATAATTTATTATAATTGGGGATAGAATTTGTTCCTATTATAAAAAAAATACTGAAAAACTAATTCCCATGAGTTTGGTGGGAATTGATTTTCCACAAAACCAAGGAAATTGGTTAACTGTTGGCGGGGAAAGAAAAAAAATTGTCAAGAAAATTATTGCAATGGAAAATGCAAAATAATTTCCATGGAAAATCAATCAAATCAAACATGCCCTAATTTCTTCTTTTTCGGGAACTTTTTTTTGAGCATTCTTCTTCAAATTTCAAGAATCCAATGCATTGTTCTATTAATAATTTTTTGTTTTTGTGGGAACCTTTTCTAAGCATTTGATGCGAATCATGGAAGGTAAGCAAGCTAACAATGATCCATTCCATGTTATGAATTTATACAGATTAATTAGAATAGAAGATTCTAAACCAATTAGAAAATGAAAAGAATATAAGGTAGGTACAAAACAAAAAATGCATATAACTTTCTGTTCGGTTGTCCGATTTTCGACCATGAGTAAAATCGAAAAATGTTTTTCAATTTTGCACAAGTTTGTCGATTGACTTTGTCAGGCTATTAGGCCAAGTTTCGAATCGGAATTTTAGCTTTTTTGGATTGTGATTCAATCTTTTGTAGGTTTCGGAGCTACTATTGTTATGTAGGTTCATATCAGCATTCTTCCTTATTTATCATGATTTTGGGGCCAGCCTAGTTGGATATTTTTGTTGATTATTGCAAATGTGAAAAATATAATTAGTTGCAGTAATTTGCAAAAGATTGCAGAACAGTAAAATACAGAAAATAAAACTTATCAATTGATTGAATCTCGTGGCAGTACGATATACTAAAGTGAAATTGTCCCTCATTAACTACTGCAATCTCTATGAACAATCACTCCTTAAATACAATGATCAAGCAAACCACTTGTGCGAAAATCACAAGTGGTTTCACGACTCTCTAGTGTACTCTAGAATATATATAGAAAAATGATCTAATGGGTATCGGTGCTTAATTTATGTTAAACGTCGATAATATGACACACCATTTAATTTGTGAATAAGTTAATGGTAAGTCCCATGAATTTAATAATTCAACAATTAATTATTGTGACATGTCATCAGTGCTTATCATAAGCTAAACACTAATCCCCACTAGATCAATTCCCTATATATATATAATCGAGAATGAAAAATTACAAAACATGAAAATGATGATTTCATTTTTGATGTAATTTTTCCTAAACCATATGTGCGCTTATATAGGTAGAATGGATATGACTTTATCATGATCTGGAAATATTTGCAACATTTATTGGCTTGTTAATAATAATTTGTTGAAAAACGGTTATATTATATTGATTAGTTTGACCCATTAAATAATTTCATAAATGATTAAAATAAATAAAAAATATTATTTTAATCAAGGAAGCCCAAAAAACCAAGGTCGCAAAACCCAATCAAAGACTTTTAATTACTGCTTGGGATATGACCCGAACCCCCGACCTCCCACACAAATTTCACACTTTTCTACCAATTGGATACTTCATCTAAATTTTTTTATTTTTTCACATATTATATTTATTTTATAAATATCTAACAACAAATAGCAAGAAATTTCCAGGGCTCAGAATCCAAATTATTGCCAGTTGTCGAATTTTAGATCTCGAAAGAAATTGCGAAGTTTTGTTGAACTAGAAGAAGAGTTCGAGAATTTTGAAGCTAAACCAAAATGCAGGGAAATTGTTTGATTGGGGATTTTCTTTGGTTTCTTTGGAAATCAATATGAATTCACCATTGTTGACTTTGGAAATTGCTTGTTTGGGGGATATTTCTTTGTCCTCATTGTTGAGTCTCCACATTCATCTTTACCATAGCCTCTTGTACTGCAGCCTGTTGCACTGGTTGAAAAGGTAAAAATTTATGCCTAACATTACGCATACCAGTCGGGGAGTCCATGGCTCCTGCAAGCAACTGCGAGAACGGGCAATGGCCATTTTCGAAGAGTCCATGATTTTGGTTGGATGGTAGGTGGGGGTGGAAGAAGGTGAGGTGAGGTGGCGTGGAGGTGGATTTCTTATTTCTTTTAAAATATTTTATGTTAAATTTTTATAGTTACTATATTGTCCTTATATTTGAATAAATCCATTTGGATATCTATTTCTAATTTATCAAGGGTCCATGACATTCGTTGACACAAATTGAAGGTTATGATAAAATATACAAAAAAATAAAAGATTAGGGGCCGTTGTTATAATTTTCCTTTTTGTTTATATTTATTTCTTAGTCAACCCTGGAATGATAATAGAATGATTAATATATAAATCTCTGTTAATTTTGTTTATATTTATTTATTATAGGTTGAAAATTTGAAATGTGAAAAAGTAGTTATGGATTATTCTAGTAATAAAATTTTTTTATGGGATCATGGAAACATGTTTAATTCCACGGTTTCAAGCTCCTAGTTTTGGTTGTATTTAAATCGATATTGTCAATGAAAATTAGAAGAAATTATTTGACATTTTATGTTTTTGGAGGTGGAAATTAGTGAAAACGTCCTATCTTTCAATGTTATCGTACAAAAACGTTTCTACCTTTCATTTTTTGGTATTTTCACTCATATTTTCATATTTCATTGCGAAAAAGATCATTTAAATAGTTACTGTTTAAATAAAATAAAAAAGGAAAAGAAAAATTAAAAATTAAATTGTAATTATACTCCCAAACTTTTTTAAAAACTACAAATAAGTTCAAATAAATTATTAAAAAAGTAATTAGCACAAAGGTCCCCACCTTTTCATATTATTATGCAAAACGTTTATATCTTTCATTTTTTTTTTTATATTTTCATCCTTATTTTCACATTACATCGCTTTCTTTTTTAATTATTTATTTAAAATTTATTCGTACTTTTCTGAAAATTTTGGAAGTAGAGTTGCAATTTATTTTTTAATTTTATTTTTTATTTAAATATGAGGGCATATTCATCATTTTACATCTTTTAATTGAGAAAATGGATTATAAAGATGATTTTCACAATGAAATGTAAAAATGAGAGTGAAAATGTCAATAAATAAAAGGTAGGGTGTTTTGCATAATAATATTAAAAGGTAGGAATTTTTGTGCTAATTACTATTTTAACAATTCATTAGAACTCATTTGCAAATTTTTAAAAAAGTTTAGGAGTATAATGGCAATTTGATATTAAAGTATCATTTGAATGATTATATCAACCCCGGTACGACC